GCTTCTACCCATTTGGACACATAATCTACAGCAACAAGTATGTACTTATTGCCAAAGGAGCTGACTAAGGGTCCCATGAAGTCAATCCCCCAGACATCAAACACTTCCACCTCTTGAATCGGGTTCATGGGCATCTCATGGCGACGGGAAATGTTCCTGGTTCGCTGACATTCATTGCAGACCTTCACCCATTGGTGCGCATCTTTAAACACTGTTGGCCAAAAGAAACCAGCCTCTAGCACTTTCGCAGCTGTCCTGACTCCTCCAAAATGCCCTCCATACGCCGATGCATGACATGCCTGCAAAACAGAAGATTGTTCTATCTCGGGGACACACCTCCGGATCATATTGTCAACACATATTCGAAACAGATAAGGTTCATCCCAATAATACATGCGACAGTCACGATAAAACTTTTTCTTTTGTACAGAGGAAATATCATAGGGAACTATACCACACATCAGGTAGTTTGCAAAGTCTGCATACCATGGCACTTCCTCAAGACTAGTAGCGAGCAGTTGCTCGTCTGGAAAGGTTTCCAGAATGTCCTCAACCTCATTTGAACTTTCAGCTCCCTTAAGTCGTGACAGATGATCAGCGACTTGATTCTCTGTGCCCTTACGGTCACGAATTTCGAGGTCGAACTCTTGCAGTAACAACACCTAACGAATCAGGCGCGATTTCGACTCTTTCTTCTCAATCAAGTACCTGAGAGCTGTACGATCAGTGTATACAATTACCTTTGAGCCGATCAGATATGATCTGAATTTATCGAAAGCAAACACCACAGCTAACATCTCCTTCTCCGTTACAGTGTAGTTCAGCTGGGCTCCACTCAGCGTTCTACTTGCATAGTAGATTGGATGCCCGAAAATAGTCTCTTGTTTTGCAACAAGTGCAGCATGTTATTCGTGATTTGGAATGATTCAGCCTGTATTTGCGGGACTACAATCGATGTGGCCAGATTTTCAGCTGTGGGTTGTGCCCAGTCATAGAGAGCAGCCTCTGGTACAAGAGGTGTCGGTGGCGCTATAGGTGCAGGTGGGTTTCCTTCGTGATCTCCCATGTTCGGTTCGATTTGTTCAATTGTTTGTTGCTGTTTGCTTTTCCGGTTGGCCCGGTTCAAGGCCTTAAACTTTCTCGGGATCAGATAAAGCTTCGAATACTTCACCAGTTCTCGTTGAGTTTCTAGGCATGCACCTGTACAACCAAGTCAACAAACGTTAAAATTTCAATGTATAGATTGGGTATAGAGAAAACTGACTACACTAAGAATTTCTGTATTTCTTTCAATTGCAATTGATAACACCGTTAACTCCCCGGCAACGGCGCCAAAATTTGATCACGCCCAACTATGCCTTATAAAAAGGACACGCGGACGTTGCAAATATAATCTGAGTATTTAGCCCAGAGTCGAACCCACAAGGAATTAACCAATCAATTACTCTCGTTAGACTTACTAAATTCCACGGAATCAACTTCCCAAACGTTGTAAATAACAATTGATGGTATTTCTACTAACTACGAATGAAAGTAAATAAGAGCTGAAAACTAACTATGATTAAGTTGTAAACAATTAAGAGAAGGTTCTAAGGTTATGATTTTCCCTATTGATGGAATCCCTTCCGGTTATACTTCACATAGATTTGCCTAATCATCTCTATCAATCATGAGCATTATTATTACTGTAAATCTCTTCCGAGTAATCACAATAATTTACTAGACGCACTCTCCCGAGATACGCTAGCTGGCTTTGTTTATTACAGCTCACTTTAGATCACACCCAAGGCTTCGTTATCCCTAATGCCGCCTTTAAACCCTCGGTTATTGATCCCTCATATACTTTGGGAGTGGTGTTGTTCAACAATTAACCTAAATATGCACTCTCTTCCGAGTTATACACACTAAATAGGCACGGCTAATTGAGGATCCTATCAATTAACTACAATAAGAACATAGTTGAACAAATAGAGATTAAACCGGGCAAACTATATTAACATAACAAGAAGTTCATCCTTCAATAGGTTCCATCAAAACCTTAGACTAAATATTTAGCTACTCATACTAGTGTTCATCACAACAATATTCAAAGTCATCACAAATCGTAAAAATAAAAGGAAGAAAGGAAGAACTCGATGTTGAATTATCCTCCTTGCATCTTGCCTCTCCTTGCCTTGAACTAAGTTATGAAAACCTTGATAATGAATCTTTGGGCGAGCTGGACCTTCTATAGGTTAAGTGGATTTACCCCCGAACTTCCAAGTTTACCCCTGAAATATACTTTTCCGGAACTGGGCTAGCGCGGTCGCTAATGAGCGCGCTAGTGACCGCGCATATGCCCTATCATTCTACCTCGACTAACTGGGCTAGCGCGGTCGCGCTAATGGCCGCGCTAGTCCAGGTCTCCATTTTAGCTCTTCTTTCTCTCGTCTTCCCACGTACTCAGCTTCTAGGGGCTTTTCTTGCTTCATTTTAGCTCCGATTACCGTCTTAAGTCCTCATTCATGCCAATGACTCCTGCAACGTGTGAAATTCACAATTAGAGCCAATTTATCATCATTTAACTATACTATAACAGTGAAACATGATCAAGCTGGGGCATAAACAATCACCAAATTACATAAATCTAGCCTATTATCAAGCCCAATATCAAAATTCTCAAATTTCAATTAGTTTGGCGAATTTGACTTACAGAAAACCTATACTACATGTGTGTATTTGATCAAGAATTATGGCCTTAAATATGTCAACAAGAAATACAGTCAGATCTCTCTATAACATCATTCTTATATAACAACACTTCTCTATAAAAGTAAAAAAATTTCGGAACCAAATCTCATGTTCTATTATAATATATGTTTTTTGTAACAACAATTCGCTATAACGTAACATCTAAAAATATTCAGAACGAACAAGGTTATTATAGAGAAATTTGACTGTACTAGCAAGATTAGCTAGCTAGGCTAGGACATGCGAAGAAAATTCACTGTCCTAATCTGACTACTGGTAAGTAAATGCCATTTATTTACAAGAGAGGCTTACACACGGGTTAACTACGGGTAAATAGTCGTTTTCAAAATGTATTACAAAAAACGTGGTCTTTGCCTCACTCAATTCCTGACTTTAGACGCATCTCCTTATCTTCATGAAACTTTATTTGGCACTTTATTCTTTTCATTCTCACTTTCTTCTTTCCAATTGCATTGCTTTTGCATTTCTAACTTGTCACGATGAGGGGTGGACGTTTCGGCAATTCGGATTGGATATGAAAATTTTGGTTGGATTTTCGATTTTTGGATTGAAGAAAACAATCCAAATCCAATGCAAATAAACTCGGATTGGATTGGAGTTTTTAAGTTTGGATTCGGATTAATCGGTTTGGATATTTTGAATTTTCGTTTTGAGCTTATAAGTTGAGATGTTTCTTCTTTCTACAATAATGAGCATCCTGATTGAGTATTCATGTTAAATTGACCAAAACAATCATCATTTTCACCGGAATCATCCAAATAAAGTATTCAAGTAATAAAATAATCATCAAGAAAATACAACAAAGACATTAGTAAGGCCGATAAGAAGTAGCAATAGTAAAATCATGTCCAAATATAAAGAATTCTGATAGTAACTTAATTAGTAATTAGTATTGAATATATAAGATTATGTCTAATGGTTAGGATATTGGACTTGTTACTATTGGAATATGAATATAATGGACTAAATATAAATATACAAATTTTGGATTTTCGGATATCTAAAGTATCAAATCCTATATCCAATCCGAAATTCAAAAAATGTTAAAATTGAATCCGAAATCCAATCCATAATCCGAAAATCCAAACCAAAAATTCAAACAATTCGAATTTCGATTTGAATTTCGGGTTTGCCAAAAACTATGCCCACCCCTAGTCAGGAAAATTTAGGAAAGAGGACACGAGCTCGAGCTTTAATTGGGGAACGGAAAAAGTTTTAGTAGGGGGCGCTTCTCTTTAATAAATATTATCCAATGCGAATTTAAATTAATCGAGGCCTAAAGGCGGAGATCAAGCATCTGGTGAAAAATAATTTATGCCAGAAATGACTTTTTGTTTAAATGCCGCAGCTTTTATGTCCTGGACTAAATATAAATCATAGGAGCAAAAAAGTGAGAAGCATATCAATGTGTTACCAGTTATCTTAGCTCTACTTCTTTGTGAAGTTTATCTAATCGTATATATAAATGCCAGTTTCTTTTTAAGCTCTCCCACTTGATAGAGTATTTATTTTCTCAAACATAATACAATTTTATTAAGCTAGAGATTCTGTCAACTAGCTACATACTAGCATTACACACTGCAAATTATTAAAAGAAAAAGAAAAAGAAAACATGTAATAGGAAAGGTTATACTTTTACTAATGAAAAATATTTTTACACCATTAGATCATGATGAATGTAATTATGTAATCATAAATCATGTGAAAAATTATTTATAGTGTCAATGAATAAAGATAAAATTAAAAGAAATGCAAAACGATAAAGGCAGAAGATAAGAGTAACTTACAGGGTTTAAAGTTGAAACTGCCAAATGCGTCACTAGCTCACAAAACTTCCCCTATTTGCTGAAGCAAAACGCACTCTTTTTAAGTATCCTCACCTTATTGGTCTTTTGAATTCAAACATATCTTTAATTTGCCTTTTAATAGAATAAGAAATCACATTTAATTTCTTCAGCCTTTATTCACTTTAGATTGTATACATAAGCCCTCCAACTTTGAATCCTAAAAACCACAACAAAAATAATAACGTGACTGCTGCTAACACCTAGAAATCGTAACCTCCCAATGAACATAAAACACGCAACCCTCCAAATACTATGTTGTTTAAAATACTCATAAATTAAAAGTCAAAAATTACTAGTCCTCCGTAGTATACGTACATGTACTCTTTCTTTGTCTTTTTGTGCCAATTAGCCACAGATTCGCCGAATTCAATATTAAGTGGAGTTATTATATATAAATGCCTCTGCTTCACCTCTTCATCTCTCCCATTCTCAGACTCCACATCTTCTATTTCACCTCTCACCTCCACCCGAGAAGGGAAAAAATAGTTTCAAAACTTGCTCTTTTTCAACCAATTTCTTTGTCCTTCAATTAATTTTTTCCCTTTTGAAGTCTACACAAACCTCTTTTCTGATGAAAAACTCAACTTCTAATAATAGCCATATCCAATAAAAAACTGAAATTAGCTACTAACGTTGTCGCTAAATCGCTCGTAGCTACCAGAATTTCTTGACAATTTGTCGCTTGTCCGTCGCTGAGATTAGCGACGAATTATTTAGTTTAGTTACAGAATTTTTCCATCGCTAAAACCAGACTTTTTAGTAGTGAATATACAAACTTCTCTTTCTGAAGTTTGCCTTACGATTTTCAGGTTAGCTATGTCCATAGCTGATCCCTGGCCTTTTTCTTAAAATAAAAAAGCCCACCATAAAACAACTCCTTTCCTTACAAATTTTTCTTTCTAATATTATTTTTTCAGCTTTTCCTAGTACAGAAATTAAGCATGGGCAAGTTACGTGGTTTTGTGCTCAAACACCGGGTCACCACACTTTTCCGATGCATGTACCGGAGACAGCGTTCGCCGGCGAGGTACCGGCGGCTGGACGCAATTCCAAGTTGGGGTACAAAATCCGTTTCTAGGTTCTTGAGCTGGACCCAACGCCTCAAGACAAGAGCCAAGGCTATATGCAACAAAGCTAATTGTTCCAGGTCGGGTCGGAGCTACATGCAAATCGGGCAGGACCCGATTGAAGAGGAAGCTGTAACGGTGCCAAAAGGTCACTTGGCAGTTTATGTGGGACAAAAAGATGGTGATTACAGAAGGGTTTTGGTTCCTGTAATATATATAAATCACCCTTTGTTTACTGAGTTGCTGAGAGAGGCTGAAGACGAATACGGGTTTAATCACCCGGGTGGTATCACAATTCCTTGTCGGATCTCGGAGTTTGAGCGTGTCCAGACCCGGATCAAACAGGGTCGGGTCAGATAACCCGGTCAACGTGAACATGAAAGTGATGAGCTGAAAGCGTGAAACAGTGGCATTTGGATTATTTATGATGATGACGATAATTATTCAGAGACAGTTGAGAGTTGTTTTAAGCATTTTTGTAGTTTTTTGTTAATTGCATCCTTTTTTTTGTTTTTTGGTCTTTATAATTTTCGGAGGTTTCACTTCTGATGTAAGAGTAGTTTATTGATGTACAGTATAGAGGAAACTTCCTATCTCTTTCCAGTATATTTGGCTTTTCTTGGCCTTTTTTGGTGTGTATGCAAATAGTATCATTTTGTGGTAGGCTTTCAGTTGCTAATTACCTATATGGGTATTAAGTTAAGCAATTTCATGAATAAGAAAACCACAATTCACTAGTATTTAATTATTAATGGATAGTGAAAATGTAAGGTGATTGGTTTTTGAACCAAGTTTGAAAGAGAAATTAGAGAGCATGGACTAAAGTTCTGCAGTTGTTGGTAGCTAGTTTCTAAAAGTAAAAAAAAGCAGAATAGAAAATTGATTTTTATTTTTCTTATACTAAACCCGCGTTAAGTAGTTTTTATACTAACTTTTTCTTTAATATTGAGCTTGATATGTGTAATCCTCATGATTGATTTTTTCTTTAGAAATTACTAGTAAAAGAGAACGTTGACGTTTCTATTGAATAATAATTAAGTCATTTTTTTCCCTGGATAATTAGGTCATCTGCTAAGTATATTAATTGTAGTCCAGCTGTTAAGATGACAAATTTATTTTAAAACTGTATTGTTAAGAAATAATACTTTTGGTAGTCAATTTGCACAATTTTAATGCTTTAAACATTTGCAACTTGGTCAGGATTGCCCTTATTCCTCTTTTAATTTATCCTTTTGAGAAAGACAGTTTTCGACACTTCAGCCTCATTCTCCTGTGAAGTGGGAAGGCGAAATACATAAACGGCCCCTTCAAGTTGTCCATGACGATCAAGCAAATACCTCAATTGACCCCTGTATCATTTAGACACTTCAAGTTTCTATTACTCAGATCAAGTAAACACATGTCGCTGATGTGGTATATGCGTGATTGCCAACCAAAATTTGAGCGCGTGATATATTTTTGCAGCCTATTTTTTTATAAAAAAAAACATAAAATACCTCAGCTTAACCTCTCTTCTTCTTTCAAGTGCAACCCACCATGAAACCACCATAGCTTCCATGAAAATCAGCCACTAAAGCTCCAACTAAGCCACCTTAAATCACTTAAAAATGTCGCCTTTCATAAAAAAACTTACTGCCCATAACCTCCAGAACTTCGCCTATATCCGTCGACCATTTGCATTGTTGCTTCTCGTATGTTTGTGCATTTCTTGCCCAAATATGTTTCAGTTTGCTTCGAGCTTGCAATGCCTTAATAAATTTCAATATTTGATTAATTGTAAAGCAGTTGTTATTTTGTATTTCTGACTTTCGTCTTTTTTTGTTCTGTCCTAGAAAATGAGTAAAGGATCTGATCCTTCTTTTATTTGTTCTTTGTCTTATTGTTCTAGTTCTTAGTTTTGATAATTTTCCAGTAGAATCGTTTCTTACAGCTTTGCTTGGAGGTCAGTTTTCCGGTGAAAGAGATAGTTTTTTCCGGCGAAGAAGGTGGGAAGGGGAAGGGGTCTAATGAAAAGATCTGTGTTTAATAAGTTGGATGGAGAGTGGACTAGGGAAAAGAAAAGGAGACGCAGAAGAAGGGCAGAAGGAAGAAGATGAATGGGGGTAGGGGTGGGGGTGGGAGTAGCGCTGGTTTTGGTTCTTGAAGGAAGAAGATGAAGTGGGTGGG